TCCCCGCTGAGCAGGGAGCCCGATGCGTGACTCAATCCCAGGACCCTGGGATCATGACCTGAGCCGAAGGCAGACGCCTAACCAACTGAGCTACCCAGGCATCCCAAGAAGGCATCTTTTTAAAGCACAGAGTTCGTTGTTGAAAACATAACCACATAAACTTCCACCATGTGAGCATCACGACCAAAAACCCCAAAGTCTTTGGTGATTTCTATTTTCATTTGGAAAAACAAAACAAAACAAAACACTGGAGTGGGCAGAGTTTGCGCAGGAAGGAAAAATGCAAGTTATCCTTTTCTGTCTTTCCCCAGGAGCCAGAGAAGCAGCAGTTATATGATATACCCCCCAGCCCCCAAAAGGCAGGACTTGGTCCCTTGGCCAGCCAACCACGTGTAAGTATGACAAGGCACAGAGATCTGATGCTAGGAAAATGTGAGCATCCTCTGGGATGTTTTATCAGCTTGGTCAAAATTGGGAATGCAAATCCCTCATAGCAGAGCTTATTTCATTTGAAACCCTGATGGCATTGGTGTTCGGGAACAGGGTGAATAATGTGGTTTGGGCAAGTCCCTTATCTTCTCCATGCCTCAGTTTCTCATGACAGACTAATTGTGAGGATTGAGATAATTCTTGTGGAGAACCTTGTACAGGTATAGTGTTTGGCACAGAGCAAAAGCTCGGTAGATCTTAGGAAAATTCTCCTTCTTCTTCTTCTTCTTCTTCTTCTCCTTCTTCTTCTTCTTCTTCTTCTGTACCTCAGAGATATGTTGTGTTAAGGTAGATTTTTATTTGTTTATAGGGCCATGCCTAATTTGAAAATCTGGAATCCATGTTCATTGTCGAATTGTCACACATTTACAATACATATACCTATGCCCAAGTTTTTTGGGGAAGGCCTTAAAAAACAGATGGCATCTCTGAAGTGTTGTGAGGGATGCATAGGAGTTTGTTAGAAGGTAAGGGGCGGGTCAGGAGGGCATGTAGAACAGAAGGACTGGTTTGGGAAAAATGAACTATAGTGGACTAAGGGAGCACTCTGAGTTCAGGGGAAGGTGAACCGCTGGGGTGACTGGACCCACAAGGAGGCTGGGGGCCGCCGTGGTGGGGAAGCTTAAAGGTGGGTACAACCAGATGATGAAGGGTCTTGAGTGATTATGGCAATGGGGAGCCACTGAAGATGCTTGAGGAAGGGAGTGACAATCAGATCTGTAAGAAGCACAGTATCCAGCACTTAGTAGGTCCTCAATGTAAATACACCTTTGTCAAATGAGTTGCTCAAACCCTCTTTTTATTGCTACTGACCTGGGCCTTTTTATGTGGTTCTTCACAGGGGCAGAGTGCTCCCCTGGTGTCAGCAATTGCCGTGAGGCAAGGCGGCTACAACACGTTACCGAGCCCCCAGAAATCAGAATGGATTTATGACACACCAGTGTCTCCAGAAAAAGCCAATGGCAGAAATGCATCTTTGAGGAGCTTTGTGGAAGAATCAGAGCCCCACACTCCCCCCAGGTATATGTCCAGCTTCCAGAATCCTCTGAACAGCAGAGCAAGGTCCCTCTATCCACACCTGCATAAAAATGTGCCCATGCAGAAAAAACTCAGCCTTCCAGAAATCCCTTCTTATAAATCCCTGGCACCCAGGGACACATTTCCCTTGGACGAGGTGCCTCCAAGCTTTCTGAACCCCCGCGTGGAACAGAAGAACACCAAGCCAAACATTTATGACATCCCTAAAGTGATGCTGAGCGGCCCCCAGGCCGTGAACGAGCTGGCGAGAGTCAACGGGGCCCCGGAGAATGCCCCGGACCACAGCTCCTCATTGTTCTCTGGCCAGGCCCCTTCGCTGTCTCTGGAACCGGACAGGTTGTCCGTTTGCAGTTCTGACAGCAGAGCCAGCGTTGTCTCCTCGTGCTCTTCCTTGTCCATGGAATCCTCTTCTAGCTCCTGCTCGGAGGAGTCAGGAAAGGAGCTCTCCTTGGACCCAGACTTGGCCAGAGAGACAGTAGCGGCTCTGCAGCACAAGGTGGCTGGCGCTGTTGCCAGCCTGATGCTCTTCGTCAGCAGGAAGTGGAGGTTCAGAGACTACCTGGAGGCCAACCTCAGCGCCATCCGTAGTGCCGCAGACCACGTGGAAGAATCTTTGAGAGCATTCCTGGATTTTGCCCGCGGGGTCCGTGGGACTGCCTGTAACCTCAGCGACACTAACCTTCAGGCCAGAATTAGGGACCAGCTACAGACCATCTCCAATTCCTACCAGATCCTGCTTGGAGCAAAGGGAAGCCTGGATAGCTGCAATTGGTCCTTGGAAGTCCTTGTGACGGACAAAGTCCAAAACAGCCTGGATGACCTCGAGAGATTTGTCATGGTGGCACGGATGGTCCCAGAAGACATCAAGAGGTTTGCCTCCATTGTCATTGCCAATGGGAAGCTCCTTTTCAAGCAGAACTGTGAAAAGGAAGATACCTTGGAAATGACCCCCAATGCACAGTTGGAGCTTGCAAAATGCATCCAGCCTCCCCAAAGGGAAATTGAATCATACCAAAGAAGTGCTCCTTTTAATAAACAAAAGGAAAGTGAACATTCCCCTGGGCTACTAAAGAAAAACGGGACAATTACCTGCGAACTGGTGAGTTCATGGTGGTATAAAAGAAGGAGGCTTTCAGATTTCATCTGGAGGGATCGCCCATAAATTAGATGCTAAGAGCCTTTCACTAAGTGTTAGATAGTTCAATAATTGGATATTGAAAGATAATGATCTTTCAATAATTTTTGAGAGACATTGGTTCCACTTTAAAAAATTAAAATTCATGAAAGTAATGTTCTAGATGAAATCTTATTAAGAAGTAAGATAAACACTTTAATATTAAGGCATGTAGGGATGTCTTCTGGAAACTCCCAAGGGGTTTATCTCTAATACTAGGAAGGACTTTGAAAACCTTTCGAAATCTTTCCTTGAGCACCTTTTTTTAATCTCACCCCCCAGTTTCCTTGCATTTTTGAAAGTTGTTGATTTAGTCATTGCCTTTGTGTTTCTTAGAAACAGAAGAGGAAGTGTAAACACTCTTCCAAATTGTGCATGGTCTTAGCAGCCTCCAGACTGCAGTTACTGTTAGAAATTCTTTGCTGCGTGTGTTCAGATGCTGTAGAAATAGAACCTCTGGTTCAAGGATTGCAAGTGCCAAGAGGCACGGCGCGTAACCTGGGACAACATGACTTGGCCCTTTTAGCCCCAGTCTTGTGTGGTATTCTGTTAAAATGCCTGCTGGTTGGTGTAACAGCTTTCACACATTCTAGAGAAGCTAGAAACGTGGGTATTTTTCATTCCCTAATTTAAAAATATAGACATAGATATAAAGAGGTATACTATACACAAATATAAATATATATATACAATTTTTTTAAAAACTCATGTGTCCAGAACGCCTGGGTGGCTCAGTCTGTTAGGCGTCTGCCTTCGGCTCAGGTCGGTCCTGGGATCGAGCCCCGCGTCAGGCTCCCTGCTCAGCAGAGAGCCTGCTTCTCTCTCTCCCTCTGCCTGCCGCTCTGCCTATTTGTGCTCTCTCTAGTTCTCTGTCAAATAAATAAAAACCTTTAAAAAATGTTAAAAAAAATAAAAAACTCATGTGTCCTTGTATCAAGTCATGTTGGTAGGCAAAATTCAGCCCTGGGTCTTGCAAAGTCTCCTTTGTTGAAAAAAAGGCATCAGCCCTCTGAAACTAATAATATACTATATGTTAATTAACTGATTTTAAATTAAAAATAAAGCATCTGGAGGCAGAACCATTGACAGAAATATAAAGAGAAATGCTCAAGTTTTAAAGTGGACTTAAATACCTCTGTACAGTGTAAAAACCACTCACGTTGGTAATTGGAAGGGATTTTATTTTTCAGAAGCTGCCTAACCTAGAAGAGACAGAAAAACCCATCTTGGAAGGAAGGTTGGATGAAAACAAACACTTCGAAGGACAGGTAAATGATAGGGCTGGCTCTCCCGGACTTCTGACCCATACACTTTATCGCTCGAGATGTCTCCTGCTATGAAGAAGTCGGCATTCTAGCCATGACCCCTTTGGGAGTAGATGTTTTTGTGACAGTTTTTCCTGTTTGCGGTAGAAGGAGCCCTGAACAAGTCCAGTGAACCCCAGTATGTGGAGCACGATTCTTGAACCATTAGTGACATAGTTCTCGGTGGTCGGCCGGTTTATCACGGGTGGGACTGACATGGCCTTTGATGGCACGGACTCACATTCCCTTTGACATCCTCTTTTGATGCTTCTGATTACAATAGAAAAACTGTTTTGGTTTGGAGCTTGTGTATCATCAACACCTCTTTGACACTCGATGTTCTTCCTTCTTTTTTAGTCAAAGATGTTATCATTGTGCTTATTTTTTTGGTTACCTTCTACTTGTGGCAAATGACAATGATTTTCCAGTTACCAATCTGAAGATTTTCCACTGAACTAACACAAGTAAAACCAGTGGATTCCTTTAAAGACAAAGATGAAGCAAGTCAGGTTAAGAGGAAGGCAAAAAGGGCATAACTTGTGAAGGTTGTTGGAATACCTGAAGCCTGGGGATCAGTGAAGCAGATTAACTCCCTGGCTGGGGGGTGGGTGGGGGTGGAGGAGGGAAGGACAGAGATGTCTCATGACATGGACAAGATCATTCATCTTCTCAGGGGCGAACTGGAACGAGATCCCTAGGCTAGAAGTCCTAGGTCAGGGAGCCAGCATGGTCAGGTCCTGGGGAGGGCTCCCCTCTGTCTTCTAATTGTGTCCTCTCATGGCAGAGAGCAGAGAAAGGAAATGAGCTCTGACCAGGGCATAATCCCATCATGGGGCCCCACCCAAAGACCTCATCCAATCCCAGGTACCTCCCAAGGGCTCACCTCCTGCTACCTTCACGTAACAGGGTAGAGTTTCAACATACGAAGTTGGGGGCACAAAAGTCAGACCCTCTCACACTGTCTGAGTGCTTCCAGGCTGTGAGTTTTTGAGATCGCAGGTGGATGAGAGAGAGAGCAGTTTAACGAAAAGACTAAGAATCCAGACTTAGCCGACTCAGCTTAGAGCTCCGGCTCTTCATTTTGCTACATGAATGACCACGGGCAGCCCTCTCACTTCGGAGAACACCAGTCTCTCCACCTCTCCTAACAAAAGGGCTTTGGGTGATTACTCGGAGGGGTTGCCACTAAGTTAGATGCCGAGAACCTTTCAACAGCGCCTTGGCTTTGGGAAGACATTGGTTCCACATTTCAGAAAAGACAACTCGTGGAGGTAAAATTCTAGATGAAATCTTACTAGCAAGTTGGAGAAATATAATATTAAGGCAGATAGGTCAGCGTATCTGGATTTCTTCTAGAAATTTTGGGGGCTCAGGTTTACTGCCGATGTTGGAATGAGAAAGGATTTTTTTTAAATCCTTTAAAATCTGTTCTTTGAGTAAATTTTAAAATCTCACCATCAAGTTTTCTTTTATTTTTTCAAAGATTTTATTTATTTATTTGTCAGAGAGAGAGAGAGAGCACAAACTGGGGGAGTGGCAGGCAGAGGAAGAAGCAGGCTCCCCGCTGAGCAGGGAGCCTGATGCAGGGCTCGATCCCAGGACCCTGGGATCATGACCTGAGCAGAAGCAGACGCTTAACCGACTGAGCCACTCAGGCGTCCCTCTTTTATTTTTTTTTAAAGTTATAGATTTAGTCATTGTCAATGTGCTTCTTGGAATGGGCTGCTAATGGTTTGTTGAGAGTATTGAATAAGATTTTATTATATATTTAACATGTAAGTTATATAGACAACACAATAGGTAAGATTGTATATATAAATACTATAATTTGTATGTAACAGTGTTTTGAAAAGATTAATTTGGTAGGCAGATGGTGCACTGTGGGGCATCCCAAACAAAACTGTATTTTTTTCTTATAAACAGTCTAGAAAATTGAGCAAAACAGGAAACAGGAGACAACCACAGCCTGGTGATCAAATCTGTCTCTTATCAATTGTTTTCTTCCCTTTTCCAGAATCCTAGCTCTCTCATCCCACAGCCTTTGAGTCAGCAGAATCCCGAGAAGCGATTCCACCTTTCTGAACACTGCCGGCTCTATTTCGGGGCACTCTTCAAAGCCATCGGCGTATTTAACAGCAGCCTCAGCAACAGGCAGCCCCCCGAGATCTTCATCACGCAGAGCAAGCTGGTCATCATGGTGGGGCAGAAGCTGGTGGACACGCTGTGCAAAGAGACACAGGAGAGGGACGTGCGCAACGAGATTCTCTGTGGCAGCAATCACCTCTGCAGCCTGCTCAAGAACCTCGCGCTGGCCACCAAGCACGCCGTGCTCAAGTACCCCAGCCCTGCAGCCCTGGGGCACCTCCAGGCCGAGGCCCAGAAGCTGGAGCAACACACTCGGCAATTCAGAGGGACGTTGGAATGAGCCTCCTTCCCCCTCTTTCTCCCTCCCTAGGGTTAACCTCTTAGCTTCCGCTTCCTAGCCCCAAACTGTGCAACTCTGTCCTACGGGCAAAGCCAGCCTAGAGATGCACTGACGGGCGGAAGCTGGTATTACCAAGTGGTTAAACAACCCCAGGACATTGGCTTATGCCACAGAGAGCCAGGTATTAAGTAAGAACCTTGCTAAGTTTTTTAGCATAGCATGTGGGGTCAGTGTATGAAGCAATGTTATAGAAACCAATTTTATATTGGTTGAATGTATGCCTGCTTTAAATTCATTCATTCAATACTTATTTATTGGGCATCTACTTATGTCAGATTCTAGGTGCTGGGCATATAGCAGTGAATCAGACAAAGGCCTTGTCCTCAGGGAGCTTACCATCTAGTGGGGAGATAGACGATAAGTGATGAAGAATTACATACACAATATGTCAGGTGCTAGGGAGACAGTAAGGGAGGAGAGACTTATTTTCAAGTGATGAATTTCTGTTGCATCTGTTAGCAAATGTGATAAGTTTTTCATTTTGGACTGAATTAATTTTGTGAGGTTTGGTACAAATTCTGTGTCTGCATCTTATACAACATATATATATATATAACATATGTGTGTGTATATATATGCAATATATATTTTTTTATTTTATCTTAACCGAGCTAAAGATGCATGTTATTTTTACAACATAACATGTTCTGTTGGATTCCTTATTAATTTATTTTGTATGTAATAGTCAATGTTGATAAATTCAGTATGTTTACTCAGAAAAGGCTTGTACTTCAACAGTCTCAAATCTGTTACCATTTATAAAGTTATGTAAATATAATCATGAATTAAAGCATTCTTTGTAGCAATCCTTTGGAAGAGTTGATGATCCATGTCGCCCAGGTTCTGGTACCAAAGCAAAGCCACCAATGTTTACTTTTCTTATTCAAATGCTTCTCCCCAAAGTGTGCAGGGAGATGCAGTAGACGCCAAGTGCTCATGCACAAGGCTAGTATGGCAAAACCAAAGCCATCACTCACGGTGGCAACCAGAAGGTGTGGTGTGGACAGGATATCCATTGCTGGGCACAGATCTGAAAGTGGTGCAGAGCTCCCCTCAAGACAAACCACCTTCTCTTCCTTTCCTTGCAGCTGGGTCTTCAGCTCATGTTGCTATGGTTACATCATCTTTACTTCACTTCAAGTGAAGGTCCATGTCTCCTATATACATCTCAACCACTAAACACCTTTGTAGCCTGGAACCAGCAGCCTCAGGCTGGAAGTCATCTGAAATGTCACCAGCCTGCCTGCTACTCGGCACTTAGTAGGCACTTCTAAATGGTTGGCTGTTAGAAAGCTGATTATTTTCACCGAGTTACTCCTAGGGTCTCTAAAGAAAGATCGCATCTTTGTGAGGCTTGCTTGGTTCTCTAATTTAGAACAGAGAGGCCACATTCTTTGAACAGCTGTGATCTGTATCGGTTAGGACTCCTTCTGTTGCAAGTGATCAAAAACCATATCCAATCTTTCTTAAGCAATAAAGGAAATTAATTGACTCAAGTATCTTAAAATAACCCAGGGGCAGACTGGGTTCAAGGCCGGCTGGTGTGGGTGCCCAGTTTCTCAGTCCCACTTTCTCTGTGTTAATTCTCATGATTGCAAGGTGGCTGCCCCAGGTTATGTCCTTGGTTTGTGGCCAGAAGAGCAGAAAGAGGCTTGATTCTGCTTGGACTAGCTTACAGCAGGTGCCTGCCCCTGAAAGCCCCACAACAAGGAGGGCATGTAGTACCCAGGTTGACCTAGACTTGGGATTCACTCCTCCACACAGGCTCATGTGTGCGTGCATGTGTGCACGCATGCGCACACACACACACACACACACACACATATATATACACACACACACTCCCATGTGTCCTGAGAGAGGGAAAGAATAGCCCTGCCAAGAACTATGACATGTCTGAGATCCCCCTACTTTAAATTAACAAGTTAGTCTGCCAATTTCATGGATGTTGCAAGAAGACAGAAGATTCTGGGATCAGAGACTATGTCTCGGGCCCCCAAGACCACGGCTAGGTCCAATGATTCACAAGAAGGAATCCCAAGACTCAGCATTATGTTCGTACTCATGGCTCTGATCTATTACAGTGAAAAGAGACAGCAAAGGGAAAGGCTCAAAGGTTCAGTACAAAGGAAGTCAGGCTCAGGTGGCCAGGAGTCCTCTCTCCCTGGTCACACGGGACACTTTTAATTCCCTCAGCAACAAATTGTGACAGCACCTGTGAGGTGTTGCCAGCCAGGGAAGGTCATGAGAGCCTCCCATCCAGGGTTTCCATGGGGCTGATCATGTAGGCAGCCTGTACATGGCACATCCCCGAATTCCAGACTCTCGAAGGCAAGCAGGTGTCCAGCATGAACCACATTATTTGCACAAACAGCTTAGGCACGCTGACCCATTCTCATCAATTCTGGGGATGGTGGGAACCTTCCCCCATTCCAGGTTTTTATAAACAACCAAAGGCCAAGCTTGCAAGCCAGCCTTTCTAAGGATATTATTGATGCCTGCTATGTTAACTCTTCCTCTCAGAGACAAAGGATTTTCCTTACAGCCTTGCAAGCAGCTTATGCTTCATCTTTATATCATTTCCACCTTAACCCAAGTCCCAGGGCAAAGCAAAAGAGGGCGCACACTGAGTTTGTGTCAAAGCCAAAGAACTCAGCATAGGCAGCCCCTGTCTTTCCTAATGGCCTCTGCGAAAACCTGACCAAGCCTTGCCTCAGAGTGAGACATTGTCTTTATGATACTGGACAGCAAACATACCTGCCTTTCTGCTCTGGAGAGAGACATGATCTCTGTCTTCCCAGGGTGTTTGCTAAAAAACACCTTGAAGAGGTAATTCTGAACAAAATGTCATCGATGCCTCTGCTAAAAGGACACGCAAAAATGCAAAGGCCCCAAGAACTGTGTCCCAGCAGCGGCTCCAACCCAAGCTGGGAATGTTGTTGGAAGAAGGGCAGGGAGGGGTGGGGGGGGGGGGGGGGGGGGGAGGTTGCAGGGAGGCACCAGTACCTGTTTAGTCCAGCCGGCAAGATGATTTTTGCACCATAGTAATAACAACAGCACGTATTTATTAAGTGATTACTACATTCCAGACCCTGTTCTAATGCTTTAGTTGTTTTAACTCTTTTGGTCCTTCATATGTGAGAGGCTCTAATCACAGATCCCTATTGCTTTCAGAATACTACAGATGTATGTATGTAGATTGGCAGGTAGATAAACATATATGGAAACATATCTGTCTATATTTTTTTTGTCTCTACATGTATTTTGAGACGAGTTCAAACCAAGGGCCTTTGTTGACAAAGTACAAAACCATTGGGTTGAAAATAATAAAAGCTGCTGTTCTTAGCTAAATGTGTTTCCTTCCTTTTTTTTTTGAAAGAGGGCAGTTATGAGATGAGTTTCCTCTAATTCGATAAGATAATTACTTCTGAAAAACATTTAAAAGAAGAATATCGCATTTTTTAACGTTTAGCAATGTTTTGCTAAGTAGTTTTCTTTCATGCCCAGAATTCTGTGCTGCTTCCTCTCAAGGTAGGAAGAGGAAATGGTGGGTGGTGTGGTGGTGGTAGCAACTTGACCTCAATTAAGTTAAATTTCATCAGGAGGATGGAAGTGGTGAGGAGCCTAGTTGAGCGATCTTCCAGTGTGACAAGCCCTGGGGAGCTGGGTTTTCTAGTTTGGGGACAACTGTCCCATTTTAAAAAAATAAAACATCTTTTTAAAACTTTATATTCTCCCCAAGGATGCACCCAGGTCTCCAAAGGCTGCCCATTTACAAAAGTTGCCCGTTTATGTAGGTGATTGGCTAATGTCTTTTTCCTTTCATTCATTCATTAAACAAATATTCATTGTGCATCTCCTGTCTACCTGGCCTCTACTGATCACTAGAGGAACTGCCGGGGATAAATAAAAACTTCTGCACTTTGCAGCCTTCATTCCAGCTGAGGGGGGTGGGAAACCAGGGCCAGGAAGAGGTGGGGTGAGTGAGGCACTCTCCTTAAAATCAAAATATAAGGGGGCACCCAAAAACTTAATGATCAAGATACATTGTATTTTGATGCAATGTTTTATTTTTTTATTTTTTTTAAAGGTTTTATTTATTTGAGAGAGAGAATGAGAGATAGAGAGCACAAGAGGGAAGAGGGTCAGAGGGAGAAGCAGACTCCCCGCCGAGCAGGGAGCCCGATGCGGGACTCGATCCCGGGACTCCAGGATCATGACCTGAGCCGAAGGCAGTCGCTTAACCAACTGAGCCACCCGGGCACCCTGATGCAATGTTTTAAAAAATCACAATCAACGCAAAGATGTCCATGTAGAACAAGGTAACAAAATTTAAATTTATAACATGAGGTCAGCGGCGGTACGTGCAATGAAGAAATTAAATCAAGGTGGGGGTAGTGGGTGGAGAAATGGAGGGAGGGTGCCCTTTTACTGGGAGAGGTCTGGAAGGAGCTCTACAGAGACACCGCCCCCTCACGCCAGGAGCAGACTTGAGTCACTCAAGGGAGACAGCCTAGAAAACAGTGGGAAAAGAGTGTTCCTGGAGAGGGAACTGTGAGGCAAGTACCCAGAAGTGCAAACGAACCTGGAGCTCTCAAGGGAGAGATGGGGCCAGTGTGGCTGGAACCAAGAGAGGGAAGGGAAAGTGGGTGACATGATCTGGGATGGGTAGCCAGAGGCCAGTTCATGGAAGGCCTGTGTATTCCTGAGATATGTTTCGCTTCCCTAAAACTGCAAACTAAAAGTAACTTTTTTTTTTGTCTTGAATTATGTCAGGATTAATTACTTCTAGTTGTCCACTTTATTTGACTTTAACCCTCTTTGGGACATCCTCAGAAGTGTAACCATACATAATGGTTGAGACTCTTGAAGAATCCTAACACACAGCCGTTTGTTGTTGTTTTTTTCATGCTAACTCTTAAAATGAGTCACTCTGCCTG